TTCTTCAATGGCCCAAGAGCCCGTGACTCACCTTCCATTTGGGGCGGGTCAACAATGCCATCCGAGGCATCTGTGTCAGTTACATCCACGTGAACTGGAGCGTCCGGTAGGATGAACGCCTTGTCAATGGTTGGACTGTCAGCAAGACCGTCCGTTACAGCGTCCACATTCGCAGCATTCAGGGATTTCATAATCAAATCCACTTTGGAGTTGAGCGAGGCAAGAGAGGCAAGCTCGGCTAATGCCTTCTCAACAACCGTGAATCTGGATGCTAGTGCTTTGAATTCAGCACAGGTGAAAGCCGGGAGCTTCGCTTGCTGAGCGCAACAATCAGCACATCTAAACAGAAGGTTTTCACTGGATAATAGCATATTACACTGATTCGCTCGGAGGCCGGTACAACTTTTGTGATACCAACGAGAGCAAACATCATACTGCATACCACCAAATGAATCCGTAACTGGCATTGAACAGGCAGAATTGCTGCAAGCTGCATTTGACTCACCAAACGAGGACGCAAGGGGTTCATTCGCCTCGGTTTTTCGCGAGACGACCATGTTGAAGTGGAAAACAGAGCAGAATGTAAAAACACGTATACAACAGTAAAACGGCCACAGTAAAAAGGCAAAACAGGGTGTAAAACGAGATTAAAAAGGGAACGACCGCAAAATTGCCAGTAAGCATCAGGAAGACGCTATGACCAGTACCACTTTAATCGATCCAAGATATCTTGGATCACAGCAAATTCGACAATAGTCAAATTTCGTTTCAAGTGTTTATTCAAACACTGTTTTCCACGTTATTTCAGCTAAAAATTTCGATCAGTATGGCGAGCAAAAAAATCGAGTTACCGCGTAGTGAATCGAGTTACCGCGTAGTCACTAAACCTTTTCCAGCAGAGCGCATTCAAACTTTGAAAGCGGATGAATAGGTGGTAGGCCATATTCTAAGACTGGACGGAAGTGCACAAAGGCCAAAGGATCTCAGGAGTCATTCGAGTGAGTGATCTTCTTAAGGCACCCAGCAGTCTCCTTCCAGTGGCCACCTTCGTCAACATGTCCTGCGTTGTTCTAAGGTCAGAAGTCACGATAATCGAGATTTCACTCGTGAGTGATATTCCTGAGGAGAAACCCACCAATGCGGCATGCACCGTACGGTTCAGTGCTACCCATTGGGAGAACAGCGCATTTATCTCGGTTTACTGGCAATTCCCACTTAATGGACCGTTCGTGTAGCTGGTCTAGAGCCCCTTGTAATCTGCCCACATCCCCAAGGCTGGATACTGTTGACCACAGCTTGAGGTCATCGGGGTAGATCAAGCAGTCGGTTTGAAGTGGGGTCGGCAGATCGTTAATGTAGTTTAAAGAGCTCTGGTCCAAGCACTGATCCTTGGGAAACGCCACTAGTCATAAGCATAGGAGCAGACAGCGTTTATTTCACTTGTACGCGCATTGTCTTACCTCTTAAGAAATCGGTAATCCAGGAGAGACGTCCTGTAATGTCAATTCCATGGAGTGTATATAGCAGTCGTACGTATGGAACCTTATCAATAGCTTTACTGGAGTCAATGAACAGTACATCAACGTGTTTTCGGACATCCATGGCTTCTCCCCATGTTTCCCTGGCGATGAGTAAATTAGCGATGCATGAGCGTGCCCTCCGGAAGCCAGGTTGAGCAGGTGAGGTTTAGATTCACACAGTGTAGCTGGAGGCGCACTTGGCTATTCGTTCCATGGTTTTGCATACGACTGATGTCAGACATATTGGCCGGTAGTTCGCTGAATCTTGTTGGTCTCCTCCTTGTAGTTAGGCAGGACGGTACCTGCATTCCAGCCTGTGGGTAGGCAGCCGACTTCGAGGGATTGCCGAAATACTGGGCAGAGATGGGCAGCGACGTACTCAGCTATCGTTCTGAGAAAGCTGGGATGCGATCCGTCCGGGTTTGGGGAGTTTAGATCCAGTTCGATAAGTAGCTTAGTGACTACCTAGGGGTTAATTTCAACTTGATCCATAGAGAAATAGTATGCAGTCAAACAGTTGCTAAGCAACGATTGCACTGAGTAGACCGGGAAATATTGCGCAGCCAGCAGGTTTGCTTTTTCATCATCGCCGTAAAGAACGGTACCTCCCTTAGAAGAGGATAGAGCAGGGATTCCATTACCCGTTTTGGCATTTCGCATCAGGTAGGCAAGTTTCTTGGGACAGTTTTGGGATTCCATGACCAGTCCGTGTTCATATTGTAGTCTTTTGTCTCGTTTTCTCAGGGTGCGTGTTTCTGACAGTTTTGTACTCTAAGTAGCTTGATGTCAGTACTGTGTTCTTGAAATGGTCCTATAGTTGCCGTCCATTTTCATTAGGGATATTACTTCTTTGTCAATCTATGAGGAGTCCTTTTGATGGTGGTCTGCTCTTGCAGTTTGGAACAAGCTGTTCAATGAGCCACATCATCATAGACCGTAGGCGTTCCCATGCATCATCAAGCTCCAAGGATTGCGGAATCCTCCAATCCATGTTACTTGCAGCCGTTCTTAATCTGGGCTGGTCAGTGTGCCAGAAATTTCGACGCAGTGTCCCATGAACGTGGATTGTGAGGCGTCGCGTCCACGAAAAGGAGACTTAGTGATCACTCTTCCTAAGAGATTGGAGGATGCTTGGATCTGGGACATTAGATGGGGTCGAGGTAAGAACCAGGTCGAGAATGTTTGGTGTCTGACTAGGGACCATCCGTGTTGGTGTCAAGACATGCTCTATCAGATGGCACTGGAGATCAACTTCAAAGAAGTCAGGAGAGATAACACTGTGAAAGTTCGAGGTCCACTATGTGTAGATCTGTTTCTCCATTTGCTCGTTGGGTTCGCAGCTCGCAGACAGCTTGCCTCATTCGGACTCGGTCCTCCGGGGAGAGGTTGTTCAGAACGTAGGTTTCTCGCTTGAGGCGTGAGGTCCGTCTCAGGATGCGTTGGCATTCCTCTGCATCCAGACAGACGATTTTCAGAGGACAAAACTTGGCTGGGTCTTCTTGTTTTCTGCTGACACGGGACCTCACTTCTGCTCTCTATCACTCAATGAACTCAATGAATGCCAAGGCGAAAAGCAGATTAGGTTTATCCCTTGCTCATCCTCATCAAACAACATGGAGGCCATTGTTTAAGGAAAGATTGTGCGTCGATTATCCTTTCAGCTGGAGTCACTTTGTTGGAGTTTGTGATTATCAGGCAGCGGTTGCGAGAATGCGACTTGTCTTATTCCAGTGATGCTGGCTTTGGTGGGCATTTCTTTCCTTCGACTAGGTGCACAAGCTGCGCTACTCTATTTAGAACGTTTTAGTTCGGCGTTTTTGGTGTTTGATTTCAGCTTGGGCCGTGAGATCTTTAAGGCTTTTTCTCACCTATGGTTGTATTCGCTTTTGCTGAGGGGCTAGTGCTCGCGACTGAGGCATAGGACTTGGACTCATCTATCAGCCTATTCCTGTTCTATCTGAGCAACAGTGTTAAGTCCAAAGTTTCCCTTTGGTTTCCCTTGGATGCAGAATACCAGACGAGGGCATACAAACTGATGAGAAAGGTGTCTCGCTATCCGTTAGAGATGGCTAGCGCAAAAGCAGTATGTGCGCTGAAAGGGTTCGTCAGAAGCTGATGTCGCTGACCAAGGTTAGACACGGGTTACAGTAAAAGTTGACGCCTTTAGAGGCAGTGCGCTGAAGACATTGGTCATTATCGACTATGTGCATCCACTTGTCGCAGAATGCGCATTGGACGCCTTTTGAGCAGGCCACGCACTTGGATGTCAAACCTTCCTAAAGAAAAATATAACTCGTCAAATATTGTCAAAAGTGTATATTCAAGCACATTTTACGAGAATTCCAACTAAGACTCGAAGTATAGCACGCCAGAAAGCGGAGTTACCGCGTAGTACTCACAGAGTGACGACAGGTTCAGATTCAGATGGACTGGAACGTAGGAAAATCAATTGAGTGTTCCTTCTTGAGCAAATCGTTGAACCAGGAAATGATAAGGTGCTAGTGCTTGATAGATCTAAAACGAAACACCCGAAACACACCCTGGTCAACCAATTACTGCCCATGTTCCCTGCATCAGCAGTCCGCGCTGTGTAGGTTACGTGGAATAAGAAAAAGTAGAAAGTAAATGGAAGATAAGGGGGAATGAACGTCAGTTAAATGAAGGATCACACCAAAGAGTGAAGAGAATGACAGAATAAGAACTAAAAGCTTGAAGATGGATATGGTCAGGAAAAGGGAAATGTTTCCTGTTGCCACCCAAGAGCGTCTAACTGACGCTCGAAACCCTTAACCGTAAGTACACTGACTACACTTTCTAGAAGCGAGTTCCCGCGCTCAACAACTCTACGCGATAACCGAGTTTCCGCCCTGATCCGGTCAGAACGCGGCTTGTGTAGCTTTGTAGTGCAACTGAAAACATGCTCTTTCAGTATCTTATAACATTGGATTTTATGGTTGTTTTAACCTTCGAAACGTCCATTTGTTTAACTGACTGCACATCCATGGTCACAAACCGTTTTGGTGAGTTCCTTGCTGCACGTCTCTCGCTCCGTCTGATTCGCTTCCTATTCTTGTAGCCTGCACAATACACGTTGGGTTCAGTCTCCTCCGACTTCTATACTGTCGTATTTGACACGTCTTACGTGTCATTGCTTACCGACTAGTATCCCAGGTTCCGCCCAACAATTGGTGACCCCCTGTCAGGAACACGCTGCCCGCCATTTTGCATTTTCATTCTGGTGAGCTCGTTCCAGTGATTTTGTGATTCATTACTTGTGATCATATTGTTTTCTCACCTACCACATTTTTTATCTGCTTTTTGCAATGGATAATCTAGAGGATAAGCCGTCTCCATGCGCGGTTAACGCCGTTCAGCCTGCCATGGTCAATTCGGTTGCATTGGCCCCTCCCCCTTTTTGGGAGAATGACCCTTTATTATGGTTTTTACATTTAGAATCCGTATTTTATATTCGTAAGATTTCTTCTGATTTCGCCATGCATAACCAGCTAATATCTTGCCTTCCTTATGGTATATCCTCGCAGGTGAGAGACATCATACTTTGCCCCCCTCTAGTAATGAAATACGAGACACTTAAACAGGCTATTATTCAGCGAATCACGCCTTCTGACAAGGTCCGTCTGCAGCAACTATTTAGTGATCTGCAGCTAGGAGATAGGATGCCTTCAGCCTTGTTGCGCGAAATGCAACAGCTCATCGGCACGTCCAACATGGACGTAGGGCTTCTCCGCGAGCTGTGGATGCAACGCCTTCCTGAAAGCACACAGGCTATCCTTGCAGTAGCAAGTGACTTGCCCATCACAGCAATTGCAGATCTAGCAGACCGCGTCATCGAACGGCACCAGCCAGAGACTGAAACCAAAGCACTTAAGCAGCTTTGCGCTGGCGCAACCACGACAGGCGCGACTAGCCCTCCGTCGGCAATAGACGCATTATCATTGCAGATAGCGTCGCTTCAGCGCCAGATCAAAGAACTCACCTTAAAACGTAAGCACCGCAACCGCTCTGGATCATCGCCCCGTCGCACAAAACCTGATGCCTTAGGTTACTGCTTTTACCACTCGCGTTTCGGTACTAAAGCATGTAAGTGCGTACAGCCATGTAGCTACTCCGCTATAGATGATTCGCCACGCCGGGCTGTAATGGCTACGAACGTCGGCAAAGCCCAAAGTCGTCTCATCTACATTAGGGATAATGACTCCGATACCCAGTTCTTAGTTGATACCGGGGCGGAAGTCAGCGTCATTCCCCCTATGCCAGGTGAGCCTACCGCTTCTCTGTCGACAAGCCTCAGTGCCGCCAATGGCACGCCGATAGCCACCTATGGTCATCGGTCACTTACCCTGGACCTAGGTCTTCGGCGTACGTTCCGCTGGGTATTCACTGTCGCTGCAGTCCCCTTTGCCATCATCGGCATTGACTTTCTCAGGCATTTCGACCTCTTGGTCGATGCGAAACGCCAGATGATAGTCGACACTGCAACAAAACTCAGCGTACGTGGCATCACCGCCGATGTGACATCTATATCCCCGGTCTATGCATTTCCCCAGACCTCGTCAGCCTACGCTAATCTCCTTTCTCAGTATCCCAAGCTCGTTCAGCCAATGAACGCAGCTTTGCCCGTGGCAGCTCAAGTCACGCACCATATACGGACGAACGGCCCACCTGTGTCATGCCGTCCACGCCGCCTATCGCCTGAGAAACTAAAGGTAGCTAGGGCGGAGTTTGAGCACATGCTTGAACTTGGAATAATCCGTCCTTCCGACAGTCCTTGGTCCTCGCCCCTGCAGATGGTCCCCAAGAAATCTGGTGACTGGCGCCCTTGCGGTGATTACCGCGCACTCAATCGCCTAACCGTCCCAGATAGGTATCCCATCCCACACATGCAGGACCTTACTGCATGCCTCACAGGTAAGACGATCTTCAGCAAGATCGATCTGGTTCGCGCCTATCACCAGATACCTGTGGAAGACAATGACATTCCTAAAACAGCCGTAATCACTCCTTTCGGTTTGTTTGAATTTTTAAGAATGCCATTTGGACTGTGCAACGCCGCACAAACCTTCCAACGTTTCATCCACGATGTCACTCGTGGCCTAGACTTCGCATATGCCTACCTCGATGATATCTTAATAGCCAGTTCATCGGAACAAGAGCACCTCGAGCACCTTCGAGCTCTCTTCCAGCGCTTGACCCAACACGGTGTCACAGTCAACCCGACTAAGTGCGAACTCGGCAAATCAACGGTAGAATTCCTAGGCCACGTCGTTTCATCGTCTGGTATCGAAGTCCTTCCTGATAAGATCCAGGCAATCAAGGACTTCCCAGCTCCGACTTCCTTCAAGCACCTCCGTCGATTTTGTGGTTTGGTCAACTACTATCGACGCTTCATTCCGCGCTGCGCTCAGCTCATGCAGCCACTGACTGACCTACTCAGAGGAAATGAACGTAAGTTCGCTTTCCCTGACACAGCACAGGCAGCCTTCGCCGAGCTCAAGGATGCTATCTCCAACATAGCCCTCCTCGCTCATTCCGAATCGACTGCACCTCTTTCTATTACGACTGATGCCTCAGACGTCGCGGTAGGAGCCGTCCTCCAACAACACGTTGGTGGGCAATGGCAACCCCTTGGGTTCTTCTCCAAGCGCCTGCAGCCAGCGGAATCCCGCTACAGCACGTTTGGCAGAGAACTGCTCGCCATTTACCTAGCAATACGTCACTTCCGGCACACACTTGAAGGCCGCGCTTTCACGGTCTACACTGACCACAAGCCCCTTATATTTGCCTTCAACTCTGCTAGCGACAAATACTCACCACGGGAAACAAGACACCTAGACTATGTCACGCAGTTCACTGCTGACATACGTCATGTCTCAGGTGTCGACAATCCCGTCGCCGACGCTCTCTCACGCGTCAACCTCACTCTCTAGTCTTTGCCTACCGTCGACCTTGCCGCCATGGCATCGGCTCAGGCTCAAGACGAAGACATACAGCGCACTCTGCAGTCCACTTCACTGCATGTGCAACCTGTTCCTCTCCAAACCACGGAAAGAACCATCCTCTGTGACACTTCCACAGGTTGTCCTAGACCTCTCGTGCCCGTCTCCTTCAGACGCACAGTCTTTGACGCACTGCACTCACTATCACATCCTGGTATCCGTGCATCTTTGAAACTGGTCACCGAACGTTTCGTTTGGCCACGCGTAAACAAAGATGTTCGTACCTGGGCTCGCGCCTGCCTTCAATGCCAGCGCTCTAAAGTACATCGTCACACCCGCAGTCCTCTTGGTTCATTCCCTGCCCCGGACTCTCGGTTCTCACATGTACACTTAGACCTGGTAGGTTCATTACCTCCTTCACGCGGATTCCTATACATTCTTACATGTGTCGACCGCTTCACCAGATGGCCAGAAGCCATTCCCGTAACAGACTGCACAGCTGAGACTGTTATCCGGGCTTTCTTGGACCGATGGGTCTCGCACTACGGATGCCCATCCACCATCACAACTGACCGCGGAACGCCTTTCGAATCTTCACAATTAGATACGTTCTGCAACTTCTTAGGTTGTCGCCGCATTCATACCACAGCGTATCACCCAGCAGCCAACGGGTTAGTTGAACGTTTCCATAGACAGCTTAAAGCCTCGCTCTGCGCCTCCTCCGACCCTAGATGGAGCGAAAACATTTCGCTCGTACTCTTAGGCATTCGCAGCAGCATCAAAGCTGACTTGCAATGTGCACCAGCAGAGCTGGTTTACAGCACGACGCTAAAGTTACCAGGAGAGTTCGTTTCACCTCCCGCATCGTCCGGTATGCCTCCGCCAAACTTTGCGTCCTCCCTAGCTCAGCGCATGCGTTCACTACGCCCGACCCCGCCCCGTGAACAGACTAAATAAATAAATAAACTTTTATTCTCGACAAGGCGAGGCACACCTTTACAGGCATGATCATGCTTAGCTAACATAGTGTGATCAAAAATGTACAAAACGTACATGTTTGGTATAACAGTGTACGTAAGTGTATGAGTGTATATACGTATGTAATTTTGTATAAATGTTGCTTGTGTCTGAATATGCCAGAGCATTTTTGACTGTTTGTTATCCTCAGGAATGTGAGCATAAGCGATTGATGTCTGTGGGTTGGATAGCACTTTCCGGATATCCACGGGCCAGATGTGCAAATGCACAGCGGACTCTCTACCTGCACCCACGTCTTCCTCCGGACCGACGCAGTGCGGCGCCCTCTCCAGCCTCCCTACACTGGCCCTTTCAGAGTTCTGCAACGGACTCCGAAACATTTTACTATAGACCAGAATGGTCATCGAACAACGGTGTCCATCGACCGACTCAAAGTGGCTTTCTTTGATGAGCCACTTGCAGCCCATCCTGATGCTCTCCCACAAGCACCCGCACCTGTGGTGACTTCCCGAGCACTGGATAACCCGGATCCCTCCGTACCCCTTGATCGGCAACCTATTCCGCCGCAACCCCAGGCAACCGACCGACGCGGTAGACAGGTCAAACGTCCGGTCCGTTTTTCCGATTTTGTAAGCGTTTGCTATTTCCATTAACACGCCTTTTTCGTATTTAATGGTTATCCTGCGTCTCATCCACAAACGTTTTGCAAAATCTATAAAAAAACCCAAAACATTTTGAAAAACCTAAAAAGCGTATTTGCTTTTATCATACATGCCATGTCCCCTCTCCGGCGTCAAGCCACTTCCCAGACCCTTGCCAACCCCCTCTGGGTTCTATCTTCCAGGAACTCAACCGCCGGAACTGCCCAGGCAACCCTCGAGTGACTCGCCAACCGGCTCAACGCAACCCTGGAGTGACCCGCCAGCCGTCCCACAGCCCCCATCCTCACCCCATTCCCCGCCCTCGATCGCAGACACCCGCGAAGGATTGGTCCCTAAACGCCGCCTAGGCATTGCCGACGAGGACGCCGGATTTCTTCGTAGGACGAGGACGCCCCGCATTCCTTCGTGGGACGAGCACGCCTGGATTTCTTCGTGGGACGAGGACCGTGGACTAAAGTGCGGTGGGGGGAGTGACACCTCCCAAGCGCACCGTCGGGTCTGCAGCAATGGGAAGGTCCTGTCGGCCTTTTCTCTGGACTAGCCAGTATTTTGCAGTCCGACCAGCCCGCCCCGACGGCCCACCGATGATGCACTCTGGTCCACACGATCGTCATAAATAAAACTAACAAAAGCCTGGACCCAGCGAACTCTGCTACACCACACTTTGGAAGCCCTTCTCAAGCCCCTGCAAACATTCGCATCCACCCTCACCTTCCGTTCCCCCCACTAACAGCTCCATCGAAGGCTTCCATCCTTCAGCCTCCTAGGGGAGGCCCTTGTAGTGCAACTGAAAACCTGCTCTTTCAGTATCTTATAACATTGGATTTTATGGTTGTTTTAACCTTCGAAACGTCCATTTGTTTTACTGACTGCACATCCATGGTCACAAACCGTTTTGGTGAGTTCCTTGCTGCACGTCTCTCGCTCCGTCTGATTCGCTTCCTATTCTTGTAGCCTGCACAATACACGTTGGGTTCAGTCTCCTCCGACTTCTATACTGTCGTATTTGACACGTCTTACGTGTCATTGCTTACCGACTAGTATCCCAGGTTCCGCCCAACAGCTTCATGGGATGACCGCGAAGACAAGGCAACCTAGCCGGGCTAAATAACCAGCTCAAGTCCGGTCCAACCTTCCCTGTTGAAATGCGGTAAGTAAGTATTAGGTCTCCTCGAAGCCGTCGGTAGTTCATTGAATACATACCCAAGCTAAGTAGACGCTCGGGGTACGATTGCCCCCGTAACCCCTCGACCAATTTGGTACCTACTCTCAAAACCCTCTCAAGCTCCATTTTGTCCCGAACAAGGCAGGGCGGGCAAGCCTGGACGCAGTATTCCAGCTGGGGCCGGACGAAAGCTGAGAACAGCTTCACAAATATGTCGGCAGTTAGTACCCCGAAAGAACGGCGTATTAACCACAACATTCTGACACCCCTACCAGCGGCCTTCTTCCAGTTGTCACCAGAATGCAAAGCCGAGGAATGAACGACACCTAGGTCTACCTGGCTGGAGACAAGGGGGAGTTCGACCCCATCGAGTACGTAGCTCGAAGGCGGGAAAGTTGCTCCTATACGATGGACGGAACACAGCCTGATTTATGGGCAGTAGCCACAAAGTAGACCAGTCCCAGAGTCTGTCCAGTGCATGCTGTATGGCCTCAGAACCCCCAGGAACATTTACAACATTCCATAGCTTAAGGTCATCAGCAAACAATAGGGATGATACCCCAAGCTCTCCAGGGAGATCGTTTACGTAGATGGAGAACAGCATCGGTCCAAGGACCGAGCCCTGTGGGACACCGCTAAGGACCGCTTGCTTAAAGGATAAGCTGCGACCCACACGTACACACTGCTCTCTTCCCTGCAAGAACGCAGATACCCAGTGAAGGGCGCGACCAGATACGCCGTAGGACCTCAGCTTTTGTGATAGCCTCAAGTGGGGTACCTTATCAAATGCTTTCGAGAAGTCTACGAAAAGCACATCCACCACGTGGCCATTGTCCACTGCCTCGGCCCAAGCTTCACGAGCAACCAACAAATTCGTCAAACACGAAAACCCCTTCCGGAATCCATGTTGTGCACTACTGAGTAGATTAAATCTATTCAGGTGACATTCCAACGAATCTCTCACCAGCTTTTCAAGCAGTTTGACCACGACGCTAGTCAGACTAACTGGCCTATAATTGGCTGACAGACTCCTGTCGCCATTTTTGAAGATAGGACAGATGACAGCCTCCTTCCATTCAGAAGGTAATGTACAGCTGTCAAGTGATTTCTGAAACACCATCGTCAGCGGTCCACTCAGTTCCACCGCCAACTCATGCAGAAGCTTCGGGTGAATGGAATCAGGTCCAGCTGCTTTGGAAGGGTTCAGTTCTTGCAGCAGTTTAAGGACTTGCGTTTCCACCACAGTAAACTCAGCTAAATAAGAACCCTCAGGTACTCTGGGGACAAGTTCAACGCTAGCCAACGCGGCCTCACGTACAAAAGCCCCTGCATACTGTTCCCCAAGTACACGAGCCTTATCTGAGTCCGCATACGCACGAGTTCCATCGGCCCGCATCAAAGTTGGGATTACCGAAGTTGAACCACAGCGTCTCTTAACATAAGCGAAGAACTTCTTCGGATTTTCCGAAGCTCCATCAGCCAATTCCTTTTCGTACACCAGCCGAGCTTTCCTTAAGTGTTGTTTACACCTATTTCTAGCCTCGCGGTATCTATCATAGGTGCTAGTTGATGGAGCCGCACGGTAGGTCCTCCAGCACCTAGAACGCTTCTGGAGCAGGTGCTTGCCAGTGGTATCTATCCACGGCGGCCGCGCCCGTGTCTCCTTACTCCTCGCAAGCGGGATGTAGGGAGTAGACACTTCCGTGAGATAAGATTTAAATTTATCCCAGGCCGCCTGAACCGTATCAACCACCGAGATTTCGCAACGCATCCCAGCAGCCTTGGTACGCATTGCCTGATAGTTAGCACGCCATATGTTTGGAAATGGCTTAGCAATGCTCTGGTGACGCCTGGTCAGACTACACCTGAACGATAAACAAACATGATCACTAGCACCTAATGGAGAGCTGTAAGTGATGTCCCCTACGAAATCTAGTGACTTGGCAAACACTAGATCCAAAATAGACGGGAGTTGGGCGTCCATGTACCTAGTGGGGAGGTCCACGAACTGATGCAACGGTACTTGTAGCGTAAGCTCAAGTAGATCTGCCCCGAAAGTACCTTCTGCCGAGTTGCAAGAAAGATCCGCCCAGCAAACTTCTGGTAGATTGAAATCCCCCAGTATCAAACACCTGTTTGCGGATTGGGAGCGAATAATGTCAAGCACCTCTTTGGACGCACTCCCAGGGCTTCTATACACAAGTACGACTGTAAGTTGAGCTGAGGAAGTGTTAATCACTACCGACAGCGCTTCGACAGTTTTATCTGCCGACTGAAACATGTAGGTGCGTGTAACGTCAAGTTCACACCTAACGTAAATAGCAACGCCCCCGCCTTGTCGGCCAACGAAGCGATCACATCTAAATAGTGCGTAGCCAGACAGATGTACTTCACCGTCCGTGATGTCCCGAGACAGCCACGTTTCAGTGAATGCAAGTATATCGGGATGAGACCCATCTACAAGCAGACCTATCTCGCACATCTTATTCCTTAGGCTCCGCACATTGCTTAGCACTATCTGAAGGTAGTCGTAATGTCCAGCCCTGGGTCGTGCGCTACCAGTACTGGCACTGGTAGGGCGGAAACAGACCGCCGGCTGACCACCCGAAAACCCACCAACCGGAGACCTTGTTCACCGGCCGCTCGCCTGGTTTTGAGGTCCTTAATGGCCTCTTTTAGCTTCAGCCTATCCGCTAATGGGAGGTCTGGCTGAACGCTAACATTAGTACCCTTCAATTTGAAGGCAAACCGCAACAGCGCGTTGCGTTCCTCCGGGGTGGATAGGACTACCCGAAGTAAGCGCGGTCGAGGGTTTGGGGCGTTAACTGGGACGTTACCCAATCTAGTCAGTTTCCTGACAGTAACACCGGGAAACCCAGGCGGAAGAAGCTTCGTTACGCACATCTTAAACCACTGTAGGTCGTCTAATGTACGTTCGGCAGGAAGTGCAGCAGTGGATTCCACTGCGTTGCGGAATATCACGCTGCTATCCATAAAAGAATCACTTCGTCGGGGTGTATTTACCCCACGGGTTTTGGAATTTACATGAACCGCAACCGGCTTAGCCGCAGGAAACGAGACTGGGCGCAAGTTATCAGACGACGTTGAAGCAACTGTAGCGTACGTCTTACGCTCCAGCTTGTTTGTCCCGT